AAAAATTAACGAATAACAAAGATTTTTTAAGGACTACCTTTTACTTTTTGAAATTTTGTAAATATTTTGCATTGGAAGAGTTCAGAATCCTGTTTATGATGAGGCTGGCATATAATGATATTATTGAAGCCCAAAGGCAAGTTCTGGCTCATGTAGGAGAATGGATGATCGGCCCAACGAAGAAAAATCGCTTTTGAAGTTTAGTATTTTTATTTCTTTTTTGGAGAAATTGGGTTGTAATTTGTATACTCTGTTTTGCTAATCCCTGTGATTAGAATAATGATAATCATGGTGAGATTTTATGATTTGATGTTATGTCTGATAGTAGAATGTATGACAAAGTCTTGTTCTTGAGTTTGCTAAAGAATGAGCTATGAAGAAATGTGGGTCAAACTTTGGATCTGGGTTTTGGTTTGGATGTAATTGAAATTTTGACAAAGTTTTAATTGTTTGCATTGGATATTAACTTTAATTTTTTCCCTTTTTTTTCAAAAACATCACTATTCGTGGTTTGAAATTTTTTAAAAATATTATTGTTTTAATTAAATAATAATAAAAACAATCACTACTACATTTTTTTTCAATAAAAAATTTATTGTACTTCTACTCACATAGTTTTATTTTTGAATTATTTATATTTATTATTTTAATATTTATATGTCAGTCAACATTAATCTTTACATTTTTCTCTTATATGAATTTAAAATTTCAAGGTTATTTTATTAGCCAATCATATTTTCAGTATGATGACTAATGTTAGCTAAACTAAATATTTTTTTTTCACTATATGTGCATATTTGATATTTAAATGTTTTGTTCTAGAAAAATATGGAACGAAAACGACAGTTTACGTCATAATATTCGTTTTTATTTAAAGACATACAATGGCGACACGTCTAATTGTTAGTCTGTTTCACAAATTACAATATTACTAAAATATCATGCTTATATAGAAATATAACATTTAATATATATTAGAAGCATGTAATTTTGTTTGCTGAGTTGTATAAAACAACACTGCTATCTGCTAACGCTAACAGTTACGCTGACTCTAAGCACATTTTTTTCATATAAAATTAAGTCCTCTCACTTTGTAACTTTTGACATAAAAAATAAAATAAAATAGCCCTAAAAAAAGTCTAGGAAATATACGTGGCCTTATATTTGTATATTTAATTGAATTAAAATTAAGTTCCCAATATTTTGTTAGTCCGTTTGGGACTTTCAAAGTTTGATTTTGAGACCTTAAAGAGCGTGACATGCGGTCTCCTTCCTTAAAGACTTTTATCACTATACTATATTGTTATTTTAGAAATTTTAAGTTTTGTTGATTTTGTATACTAGAAATCTATTATTTTTATATAATAAGTAACTTAAATTCAAACAAAAAAAATACGTACTCTTACGTAAAGTTTGTCCAATTGTCCGGCCAAAAACAAGAGAAAATACCAAATTTAGTACAAGAAGTTATTATTAAGAACCTAAACATATTTACGACATNACATATTTATGACAAATTTGAACCTGTAATATTTGGGCTGGTTATGTAGATAAACCGGTATAGGTCCACTAATAGCATTTCTTTGAGATGGGCTAGCGTCAGAAAATGAATGATATTGGGCCTTATTAGGCAGTGAACTGATACTTATATTGGGCCGAATACTAGAGAAGTTCACATAAGACTGAATATAAAACGCTTTTTTAGTCAATCATAACTATTAAGGATAATTAATAATTATATGGTCAAATAGACTTTGTAGTGAACAATTTTTTAAGTACATAACATAAGTACAAATACAAAAAGTCATTTAAATGTTTATATCGCTTTAAGATTGATGATACCAAATAATAAATTGGCGGTGATGTAAGACTAAATTTTTATAGCAGATTTAACTGTGCAGTCACACAATTCTTGAAAGACACGTATCATTATTTTATCTCGAAAGACCTAATAAATTTGTATATTTTCCCACATCAATATTATATAATATATTTTATTAAAAAAATCGAGTATTTTATATTTACATATTATGTATAGATTTAGTACATCATGATTTCTTTAATTTTGTTTGCTATACGTTGCCAAACATGTAATTCCAATAGTCTGAAAAAAGGAAAATTTAATTCCAATAAATAACACAGAAATTTATTACGAATTTGTTGATTTCATGAACAATTATTGACTTCAATCATGATATCAGATCAAAGGACGGGAAAAGGCAAATAGTGGAC